TGACATATAAGCCTTAGTTCATTTTTAGGCGATATTTTTTTTCTCCGTGCTACCTGAAAATCTGATATTTTATAGAAAATAAAAAATTATGCCGCCGGGTAAAAGGCTTTCAGTGCAACAGCGGCTAAGCTCATTTAAAAATTCATTTTCCTGTCATATTTTAATAACACAGAAAAAAAATTTTTTTCGGTTTTCACTTGAATTTTCGACGCGAAGAAAATGTTTTTGGGAAAAACGCGTGGATAGCTTTTGTAGAGCATACAATTTGCTACAAAAAGTTCCTATGCGTACATTCTCGCCGACCAGCTTTTAAGTTATAGAGCTGTGAAAATAAATGTTCATTATAATTGATATGAAATCATTTCTAAATTAGGATTTATTATTTTTACATCACATAGCAATTAATTATAAACAAAAAAAACGCTTTATTTGATTTATATGATTCGAGTTTCTAATTTACAAAATTATTTTGGAATCAAATAGAGAAAATTAAAAGTCAGTTATTAAAGAAATATTAATCATAATTAAATAATAATTAATTATGGACATTTAGAAACTATTCATGTCGGTAATCTCACTGGATTACAAACATAAACTCTAAAATTTAGTAAACGAATATAAATTTTAATTAATAAATAATGATATGTAGAAGTGTAGTTTTTTATGTTATTTTGGAGTTTCTGTTGAGTCTGTGAGTTGACTATAATTAATTTTATTTAATTATAGTTAACATTTTATAAATAATTGACTTTTAATTTTCTCTATTTGATTCCAAAATAATTTTGGAAATTAGAAACTTGAATCATATAATAACTCAAATAAAGCGTTCTTTTGTTTATAATTAATCGCTATTTAATGTAAAAATAATAAATCCTAATTTAGAAATGATTTGATATCAATTATAATGAACATTTATATTCACAGCTCTATAACTTAAAAGGTGTTGGTCGGGGAGAATGTACGCATAGGAACTTTTTTTTATGCTCTACAAAAGCTATACACGCGTTTTTCCCAAAAAAATTTTCTTCACGTCGAAAAATCAAGTGAAAACCAAAAACAAATTTCTTTCTGTGTTATTTAAATAGGAAAATTAATTTTTAAATGAGCTAAGCGGCTATTGCACTTAAAACCTTTTACCCAGCGGCATAATTTTTTATTTTCTATAAAGTATCAGATTTTCAGATAGAACACAGAAAAAAATTTTCTCCTAAAAATTAAGCACCCTAAATAAGCCTACATCATATTTTTTAAGTGGAATACCCTGTATATTGTATACGTGTTTCCAATTACAATGATGTAACACACTTTATATTTCAGTTCACTCGTTTTTGATAAATCGACAAAAATTGGCAATTTTTATATACTTCCAAAGAGTGCTGTGACAGGCTGCAACAACAATACTTATTTATAAATTAAAGTAAAACAAAAATTCTAAAAATGGCAAGACACACTAATGTTAGAAATTCTTTAACTATTCTAAATACTGCTGTATGTGACCATCATTTTCCTGAACACATTGCCTCTGAAATCCTTTGCCGTAGTTCCACGACATTATTACAAGGAGTTCTGTGCACGTCATTTTTTATGTGTCCTCAAAAGAAAAAATCCATTAAAGTTAAGTCGGGGCTGTTGGCTGGCCAATCCATAGTTCCGCTGTTTCCTGGGATATCCCACTCCAGAAAATGTTTAACTTGCACAACATTGTGAATAGGGGCACCGTCTTGCTGCCGCTGATGTATTTAAGGGCAAATCTTCTATATATTGTTCCATTTGGTGCTCTAAGAGTTGCAAATAATCATCTCCAGTTAACATCTATCTATTATCTATCTATCTATTAATATCGGACTCAAAATATGCCAATCTATGACACATTAATTGATTGGTACCCCTGGGATTTTATTTCCTGTATTTGTCTAGCGACCATTATCGCGTATTTTGTTTATAACAACCCATTCCAAACAAAACTGCATCCTCCTTTGGATTTGTTCTGCATTTAGTTTTTGAGTTATACGAAATTTAAATGCATTAATTTATATTCTTTCAAAACTGAGTGAATTGATCCCTGAGAAATACCTGTCTCTTCATATACCCTAGGAATAAAGGAAACTGGATGTGCTTCATAGAATCCTAATATGTTTGCCATATTTTCTTCATTTTAAACATTATGATTCCGGAATACCTTTTTAGCATTTAATAGGTTACGGTTTTTTGCAAATTTCTTTGCCAGCTTTGGAAATATCTGTTTTGAAGGAACCCGGCGCTCGGGATAAAGTCTAATATACTGACGACGAGCTGCGGTGGCATTTTTATTATTCAGAAAGTATACTTGAAGCATCCTTTCACGGATGCTAAATTCTCGAAAAAGCATTTTAAAAATAATGACAGGGCAATTATATAAAACTTTCCTCTTTTTGCCGATTTGTCACATCATTGTAATCGAAATAATATATTCTATTAAACACGTATATAATATACAGAGTGTAACATTTAAACAAATATCACTTGGAAAAAATTTGACTAGTAACCCTACATTTTGTTTTTTAATTTACCTTCATATCTCTAAAAACAACAAATTTACAGCCAATTAAAGTGTTATCAAGATAAATTGAACGCACCTTAGAAGTTCAGCACAATCTCCACCAGTAAAACACAAAAACCACGATGCTGTCGACCATGTCATTGGAAAATACTGCACCAAAAGAAAGAATGACTATAACTTTAAGATTACTTTTTGACAGTTTTGCTTGAACTTCTAAAAAAATATATTCGCAGCACAATCTCCACCAGTAAAACACAAAAACCATGATGCTTTCGACCATGTCATTGGGAAATACTGCACCAAAAGAAAGAATGACTATAACTTTAAGATTACTTTTTGACAGTTTTGCTTGAATTTCTGAAAAAATATATTCGCAGCATAATCTCCACCAGTAAAACACAAAAACCATGATGCTTTCTATCATGTCATTGGAAAATACTGCACCAAAAGAAAGAATGACTCTGATACTTATGAATATTACTGGAAAAGTGCAGTAATAGTTTACTCAAGAGTCTGTACCTAACAGTGGGACTCAAGATCCGGAGAACTGGATGCCCGGGATAGAAGAACACCAACACATTCAATCTTTTACAGATGTCATGTCTGTGAAGAGAGCCAGACTGCATCAGCTCAAATATATGACAGTTCCGAACGAAGGTGGACTTTAATGGAAGATACTCGGGAAATAGCGTCTATATTTAATTGCAGAGAAACATTAACATTTATTAAGTCTGTCGGTCTGCCGGTATATTTTGTGTTGGAACGATCACTGGGGCTGAGGCAATCGAGAGTCCTAAAGCCTCAGTTGCAGAGACTTTATATCTTGAGTGTTTCAACAACTATGTTTAGAATGATCTCCTAGCCAGGTGCGCACCACTAGAAGTGCTCTACTTCCCGCACTGAGGATCAGGATTACATATTTGATTTTTTTGATTTCAGGCAATGAGACTTTCTAATAAAAAAACTTGTTCAAGGATTTCCTTGAGAAAAACTGTATTCAAATCATAAATGTAAATGTTACATTATGTTCCTTCTGCTAATAAACCGTTTTGCTATTATAAAAAAACAATATAAATCATGTAAAAATCATCCAGGCTACGAAAAGTAGTCCGCACTGTACTATTTATATTGCTAATCTCTCTGTTTGGCAAAGTGAATACGACTCATTAAGAAGTATCCTTTCTTTGGCGGCTTCGGCCGCCTATAAGCGTATTCTTCGCTTAGAATTATATAATAACGTAACACACATTTTTATTCGTTAATTTACAATGATTACTCGCTTCTTATTTTAGAGAATGCCTTTGTGCGGCGCGTCAACTTTTTATGCGGCCGTCAAATATTTATTACCAAAAGAGCGGCGCCTTTTCTAAATACATCGTCACGTTCCCCGATTCTCATTTTTATACCGGGCGTAGGAGTAAAATTTAATTGTCGAAATTACACTGTTGAGCCAGTAGTTTTTAATATGAGAGCAGCAAGTCGTTACAAAACTTTTTTTTCCATGAATCTTCAATAGCTTTATTATTTTTTTCTCCTCGTAATTTTCCTTCCTTAGATTCCAGTCAGAATCTGCTTTTTCGCCTCTTATTGTACAGAAATCTATCTTAAAAATGCAGATATTAACTTAAAACCACCATTTCTAGCACAAGGACTGGGTTTGCCCTCTTGATTTCGAGCAGATCCTAGTCAAATACAGCATTTTCATAACTTACCGGACTGAAATCTGTATTAAAGCTGCGGATAAATACTTAAACCCGCTTTCTTGGATTGGTAGTAGGTTTTTCTTATTCATTTCAAACAGATTCCAGTCTAAATTCTCTCTTCGGACAAATATCGTATTTAAAGGCGCATCAAAACTGTAGATATCAGCTTAAACTGTCATTTTTTGTTCCAAACAGTTACCTTTTCGTGTCAATATCGTTATATCGTTCAAATACTAGTCAAAAACGACATCTTCGACCTTTATTGTAACGAAAATGTTAATAAACCAGAAGATATACAACCGCCCTTTCTGGGTCAAATAGTTGCCGACTTCGATTAGATTCCAGTCAGAATAGGCTTTTTCGCCTCTTATTGTACTGAAATCTACTTTAAAAATGCAGATACTAACTTAAAACCTTTATTTCTGAGACAAATACCATTTTAATAACTTGCCGGCATGAAATATGCGTTAAATCTGCAGATAACTACTTAAAACCCACTTTCTTGGATTGGATTTTCTTGTTCATTTCAAACAGATTCCAGTATAAATCGGCTCTTCCGATACATATTTTATATATACATTTTCTTCATTTTCGACCTTTATTGTACCGAAAAGGTTAATAAACCAGCAGATATCGATGTAAAACATATACAATGTTAATGTTAATACATACATACTTGGATTTTCACAACGTTTCTTTAACAAAGACAAGCATTGTTTATCGAAGAAAATAGCAGAATGTACAGGGTGTAACAATATATGTCGATTTAACCGATTTTAAAAGTTTCCGCGTAAATCAATTATGTCGCATCGAACCTTTAAGAACGCAAAACAATGGATAAACGGAGGCATGGCCCGCTGGCGTCTTGAGGCATTTTAATGCGAAATTTGACGCCCCGATTTCATTAGAACGATCGCCGCAACGCGTAGGACAATGATTAACTTTTTTCGAAATTTATTCATGGTAGTTTAAATAGGGAGGGTACGGGAACGTATAAGAGCAACAGGCGTTCGGGTTTGGTCAACACAACCTCAAACGATCGTTACAATGGCGTACGTCCAAGTAAATACGCCATTTTTTAAAATTGCGATCGATTTTACGATTTCTTTTTTGCAGATTCTCGTTCTGATCTCGTTATTCTATGGATCTTTATGTGGCTATGCGGCCCCCGAATATTACCAAACGTCTCCCCTAAATAACGTGCCTATCATCCGCATGGAAGTAACCAACGATGGAGAGGGATCGTACAAGTACGCATACGAGACAGGGAATAAAATTGCCCAGCAGGAACAAGGTATGAAAAATCGCTCTTTATAAACTCCAATTTTCTCGTACTTCCGTACCACCTGCTACCCTAAATATCCCATCACATTCTCTAAAAATCGAACAACTTTTTTTTGGTTCAGTTTGTTTCAATATCACCCAAAAGTCGTATTTTTTTGTCTCCAGGGCATCACTTAATTTTAATTATAAATTTGTTAAATAAAACACATATATTAATACACAAATATTGTACAACTATTTTCCGTCTAAATAACAATGTTCTTGGCAGGTTCTGAACTATTTCTTGTTGTTCAATACAATTTTTGCAGTTTTAAGTGTTAAGTGTTACTGTGAGCACGTACATTAAACGTGCTTTGCAATTTAACCATATTTCACATTTTATATTAGTGGAACCTTTTTTACCTGGCGACTAGGATATTCCATTATGGGTGTACCACGTGTCATATAGGCAGATTATAGTTCGGTTTTGCAATCTAGCTGTACTTTTCTGGATATTTTTTTCTTTGGAACTAAAATTAAGTCACAATCAGTCTCTTGGTAAAGTTTTGATAACGAGGGCGCTTTTTGTTCTGGATACGTTCCATAAAGGTATTGTCTGTTCTTATTTTTTAGGTGCTCTCGGATTATCCCGAATTTTCCAAATTGGATATTCATTACTTATAAACTAACTCCGAAATGATACAAAATGTCTTTTCATTTCATTTAATGTGCAGCTCATATAATAACAGAGGCCATATCACTTTCTTAGATCGTGAAAAATACTATAATTTCTCTTTCTATACTATACTATACTTCTATATACTTCGTACTGCATATTCCGGCCCAATAGCGAATGTTCTTTAGCCATCTCATTAATCACATCCTCGATTAATTTATTTGTTATAAGTTAATGGATTTTGTGTCTGTTCCCTCTAAGGACATGAGTCAGTTATGATAGTTTTAGATAATTCACAAACGGTACTTGTTCTATTTAAGACTACTTCGTTGGCTTACATGGAGGTCCAGGGCATTCAGAGCATTTCTCTATACAACCACATTGAAAGGCTTTCAGCTAACTAATAGAATAGGTCTTTAGAGTATAGGTGTCAGCAACCCAGAAGAACACAGACCAAATATAACATTTTAACAATCTTTGGTTGCGAATTGAAGCTTAAGTTGCCATTCTCAAATAGTTGTGCCAGGTGTTTTTATTCTGCGCTATCTTTATTTGGATCTAGTTGTTCTGTGATATAGCCTCCAAGGTATCTGAATTGAGTAAATCTCTAAAGCGTGTGTTTTTCTATCTGTCAAACACCTTTTATGGTTTTATGGTTTATGGTCCATTTTCTATATTTATGTTGAACATAGTAAAACAAAAATAACAAATACATAATTACATGTAAACCAACTTTGAAATGATACAAAACTTCTACCTAAAATGAAACCAATAGATCAAAATTAAAATAGCATTTACAAACAACCACGTTCTTCTCCATTGATTCGTTAAATTAATTAAATTTTTTTCTCGATAAGGGTTTTAGATACGAGTAAATTACTTTGAGATTAAAAAAATTCTAAAATAATAGCAAAACTTGTTTGCTGGAGAAAAGGTAGGGTGGACGTAATTGGAGTGTTTTAACAGGCAAAACCTATTTCTGAACTAGCTAGGGCAAAACCGACATACATTTCAAGGATTCGATTTTTGAGAAACATTTTTTCGTTAAAACCGCACTACCAGCCGTTTTTCGTTCTGAAAATTTCCCATAACTTTTTGGGGCTCGGCACCGGCATTTTTTTAGTACCACAGCCGTATAAAATAAGAAAGTTGTATTAATTTATTAGAAAACGGAGAAGTATACAAAAATCTGAGAATTTGCCTTTAGAAATGCCTTAATAATGTTTTAATCCGAATAGAAAAGTTTCATGAATAAAAAAGTTAAAGACAATAAGCGGAAAATTGAAAAACATGGTCCTTGATAAGCGATTTTAAAATTTAAATGTTTTTAAAAAAGTGTCCCCCAACATGTTGTCCTGTATAGTTCAGAAATAGGTTTTACCTGTTAAAACACTTCAATTATAAATCAAGCTGCAAATTGAATCATGAAATGTTATGAAGGCTTTAAGTTTCACTACCTCAAAAACCGCAAGAGCTCTAAAGGAAAAATTTTAAAAATCCATTTAATTTAATTTAAATTTTCACTAAATGTTTGTATTTGGTTCTCCGTAAACGTCTAACCTATCATCGACCATCAATCACCCTGCATATATCAGCAATTTCCGGATGATTTTATAAATATAGTATAGAATAATTTTCGTTTTGTAGTTCCTTTGTTTTTGCAGAGTACTAACCAAAACCATTCATAATAACAAATAATTACGTCTAGTTTGAGGTTTTTTGGACTAACATTTAGCGGAATTCTATGCCTTAGATATAGATCTCAATGGGCTAAATTTTTCTTATATTTTAGTACTTTTATAATTGTCAAATGATAATTACTTAATAATAATTTGAAAAATTAATTTGTTCAGCGCACTACATTAACATATTTTATGAAGTAAGGCTCCAAACGACAAAATTATAAAAATTTAATTAATTAATTTATTAACATAACTTGACCAATGATCTCATTCAGTCAGAGGGGTAGATATCCAGTAAGGGTTTTCTTTGAACTTAGGTAACCGTTATATGACGTTTGGGATGAACCTTGGAAAATGTTATCAATAAATTTCAGGGGATCCTACGAAACGCCAGGGTTCCTATTCGTACACCGCACCCGACGGTCAGCAAGTGTCGATGTCCTACGTTGCGGACGAACACGGCTTCCATCCTCAGGGATCGCACATGCCTGTGCCGCCTCCGATGCCCGAGGCGATCAAGAGGGCTGTGGAGCAAAACTTGGCGGAAGAGGCAAGAGGTATCGTGGATGATGGACAGTACCGTGAGGATATTCAAGCTCCTGCTTTGCCTGCCCACTTTAGAGTGTAGAATTGGGGTCAAGAATTGTGTTTATAAAAGCGACTTACATTAAGTTCAATATTGGTGATATCAAAATTGTATCTCAAGCTGTAATAAAGTTGTAATAATAATACCGACGTTACTGTAATTCAAATTTAAAAAAAAAAAACGATGTTAACCTAACCTAACCTAACTTCGGGTTGCCGCATGATAAACGCATACTCTGCATTTTAGAGTTCCATGCAAGAGCCATGATATGTGTTTTGTACGTTCTAAATTTAAATAATGGGCATCATGGCTAAACTTGGACAATTGGAAGAGATGACGTTATTTGTTTATTTATTATCAGGAGAAGCCCAATAACTATATGAACAAAACTTTCGTCTCATAAAGAAATGCGCGAGGAATTATTGAGAATTCCAACTAAAGCTGCTGGGAATTTGCAAAAATAAAAGAAAAACTATGAGGACAAGTACATCAGGTTCGAGAGATAAGAAGAAAAGTACTGCGCAGCGAATAAAAAAAATTAAATGCAGAAAGTGTTTGACCCTAAGTATACATTTCATTGACACTATTTTTAACTACACTGGGTGTTTCGTTGTACCAGGAGAGTAATCAACTTTTTTTACGGAATACTGTAAATATTTTTACAGATTCTCATTATTTCCTTTGATTCTTAATTTTTGGCGGAAAATAAGTCTTCGGAAAATGTGTTTGAAAAATAATATTTTGAATTTTTGTTACGGTTCCATGCAAGTGCTTAATATTTATCTGTCTATCTATGGCGAAAATATATTGTACAGTGTGGTTACAAATGATTTTTCTAATAAAAAAAAAATTCATAGAACACCTTGCATTGGGCACTTTTATTGGGTTTGGTATTTAATTCTGTATCACTTTGTATATATACAATTGGTAGTTTAGAAGTTACAACAACAACTCGTGTATTTAATTTTAAAACTATTCCAACTATTCTTTTTTAACATTAATAACCTAATTAATTAATTAATTAAATTACTTAATAAGAACTTTTTGTAATTACAAAACGTTTTCTGCAACAGCAGTTCTAATCGCGCCTTATTTTTACAAGATATCCATGGAAAAAAAGAACTAGGAAAATTATTGCCTGGACCGAAATATACAGTTTTAATTTGACATTTAGTTGTCACCAATTTGGAAAAAGAAAAAAATGGCTTTTTACAGTGTTCAAAAGCATTTATGTCTTCATGAATGTTACATAAGAAAGAGTAAGAGTTCAGCATTAGCCCTTAGCTTGATGTATCGTACAAGACAGAATCCACGAAACATGTTTTTTCCCAAATTATTCGTGATCTTGAACATGTAGTGGTGGTACACAAACAGGAAACCCACAAGAGTACCATTTTAAGAATAAGTACATAATATTATAAAGAGTTTAGTTAATAACATTACAAAAAAAAAATTGAAAAGCAAAATTATTAATTGCGATGAATTGAGTCCGACATAGAAAAGAAAAGTAACAATATAATATTTCAGATTCAAAAGAGCATCACAACTTATCATAGAGAAGGCAAAAGAAAAGAAAGGGAAAGACCAGTATGTGGTATACTTTAAATAAGTAAATGCAAGAGAATAATAGGAACCAGATAAGGAATGTCGATCCAATAGTCTAACGGTCAGTGTCTTCTTTAAGGAGATCGTAAAGAAATCTATTTTTAAACAGTGAAGGTTTGCAGCTCTCAGGATACATAGTAGAGGAAATCGCGAAAAATAAATTAACTAACCGGGTCGGAAAAGTGTTTATGGGTGGTGCGTCATCGAATAATAGGCTCAGTATTTTACGGCCTTGTTCTAAAAGGTGAAATATACTCAAATTTGTTCCATTAATTCATAATCTGCAGGACGATATTAAAAAAGGGATTGTTTTTCAACAAGATATTGACGTATATGACATCGTAGTGTCTGTTTAAATCAACGTTTTCCATTTTTGATTGGTCGGCACAGAACCAAGGCATGGCCAGCGAGGAACCCTGACTTGACACAACTGGAGTTTTTTTTGGGGCTGCATAAAAAACGAAGTGTATAAAAATAGGTGTAATAGTGTTCAAGACTCAAAAATGAGAATTTAGCACGAGGTAGAAAGACTTAATGCAACAGGCGCGGTTGGAAATGCGAAAATTGATACCTTATATATTACTTGTATTGCCAAAGATGGAGGTTGTTTAGAAAACGTTTTGTAATTGCTAAAAAGTTCTATTTACTGCATAGCTTGCTGATTTTATATTGAATTTAAATAATTAATGTTTAAAAAATAACTTATTATAGGACATTACCTGGATTTAAAATAAAATACACGAGTTGCTGCAGAAAATTGGCGTAACTAATAAAAGCTGTATATATGAACTAAAACAAATTTAAATCTAAAACCCAGAACAGTGAAAAACGTTTTTTTTATTGGGAGAAATATTTGTATAATATATTTACGTCATAGGTAGGTCAAACCACTTCCATGGATCTATAATAAAATTTAGCCATTTTAGTTTTCAACTGCAAAAACACATTTTTTCCAAAGACCTTTTTTCACACACACACCCAATCAATATGCGCTAAAATACTTAACGATAAAGTTACTTCTCCTTAAATGAAACCAAACCTTCAATAGCTTTTTTATTATTAATCTTCTTTCTCTAGTTGGGATCGACCAAAATTCTTTTATTTTGGTATTCGCATCCCTTTCATACTTTCTTCTCCTGCCAATTACGCAATTTGTTTTAAAACAAACTGAAAACAATCAAGAGGATGAATTTCAAAATTTTTGACGCTTTTACGCAAGTGAAGCATCGTAGTTAACTAAGCATCTGGAAAGTCCCATTAAAAGTATTATTTATGTGATTAGAAGACCTTGGCAACTCCTTTATTTTTGATATTCGAAACATTCTGTTAGTATACTGCCTACTCTATTAAAAATCATGGAAACTTAGCTCACACTTTTTTGGATAAAAAAATCCTTCCTGCCACTCACGTATCTGATGATATATATCACGCCAGTATTATTGGACTAAAGCATTTGGTGCTCTCAATTACAAGTTAGGATAAGAAAAGGACAGAACTGTTAGAATATGTAGTGATGCCTCGTGGTGTGCCCAAGGGTAGCATTGTAGGACCATTTCTATTCAATGTATATACTGCGGATCTGGATAATTGTCTCAATAAGATGAGATCACATGAATATACTGAGCTCTATTTCTTTTCTAGGCTATTGAATTCCAATGTTTTTCAGAAACATATTAATAATAACAACCTGAAGCTGTTGAAACATTCTCACGTAAGTAATTAAACTTTGCAGATAATTGAATGTGCAAAAATTTTAGGGGTTCTATTTGACACGAGCTTAAGATTCCGAAACCATATATCCGCCAGGACTATCTCGGTAAAGATGTCTACTCTGGATGCAATTACTTACGCTTAGATAAAAGATACGAGGGCAGCGCAAAAATTTCCCGGCCTGAATATGAAAGAAAAAAGTAGTAACAACTCAATCCCTTTAGAAAAATATTCTTTTGGTTTGTCTGCAATATGAGCTAAAACAGCCTCTTTTAACTAAACTTCGTCGTTAAACCGCCGTCCAGGTAAGTCCTTTTTCAAATATCCAGACAAATAGTAGTCGCTGGGGGCCATATCTGGACTATAGGGAGGATGATCTATCTGGTCAGTTTTCTTCGACGTTTGACACGTATGTAGCCGCGCAATTTATGTAATAATGTTGCGTAATATTTACCATTGACAGTGGTATTAGTTTCTTTAAAATCTATCAAAAGAATTCCTTCACAATGCCAAAAGATCGTAGCCTTCGCCTTTTTTGTTGACTGGCAGACTCTGAATTTTCTGGAGGTGCTTCACCTTTACGACGCCACTCCATTAATTTTTTTTTCGATAGAGGGCCATAATAGAGAACCATAGTTTCATCTCTATCACAGGCTTCGGTTCCAACCCACAGAGTTCCAAAAAAGACCGCGCGCACTCGACACGGCGTTGTTTTTGAATAGCCGAAAGGTTTTCAGGAACCCATCTTGCACTAACCTTATGCATACCTAAATGAACATGCAGGATTCGACGAACACTTGTATTAGAAAGCTTAGTAATTTCTGAGATTTCCTTGACCTTTAAACGTCGATCACTCGATACCACCTCCTCCACTATCGCAACAATATCTTCCGTTAAGGCCTCCACTGGTCGACCAGTTCTTGAATCATCTTTAAGGGACTCTTGCGCCATTCGAAAACGTTTTGCCCATTCTTTCACTACAGAATATGAAGGAGAACTTTGGCCGTACACACCACCCAGCCTTTCTTTAATAATACCAGGTGCAAACCCTTCTTTTGTTAAAAACTTTATGACTGCTCTATACCCAATTTGGGTTATGTGTGACATTTTTTCGGACACGTTTTGTTTAAAATGCTGTCAATAAAAAACTATTTGACGCCAGACTTCAATTTTTTTCCCAGCATATGTATTTAAAAGAAGACAAAGTTTTATCGTGATGCTGGAGCTGCATCTATGTCAGGCCGGGAAATTTTGGCGCCATTTTGGCGTATGTAATAAATACTTCCTGCTAAATATATAAAATTCAAAAGTCGCATCTCCATTAATATTTGTTGTCGAGACTGATTGAAGGTCCAGCATTCGCACAAAGAAGTATATTTTTCCTGGACATTAAATTACACTTTCTCAATCTTCATTTAATTTACCTTCAATGCTGTATAATACTTTCCGATTAGAGCTGGAGTACAAGAAATTTGTTTTTATTATTTTAAATAGTCATTTTTTGCTCTCACTTAACTGTATTTTGCTCATACGTGTATCATCTACCATATACAAGTGATTACAGAGAGTAGCATTATGCTAGATCTCACCACAAACTTATTTATTATTTTGTAATAATAATGTGTAATTAAATTGAAATAAATGTGTCGAATAATGTTGCTGGAGTTCTTGGTACCTCTATAGCGTCTGAGAAAACATTTTGGTAATTTTTAAAAGCTACAAGCGCTTTAATTAAACTTAATAGTGGCTACATTATTTGACATTACGCCATTACACAGGGTGTTTTTACAACAAACCGCAACTGCGTGTCTGAATTTTAGCAGAAAATAACAAAATTAATGATCGGCTGTAATAGTGTTTCAAAAAGTTTTTCAAAAAGCACTATTCCAAAAAAACGACAACGATTATAATTGAGCGCGCATCGATTGAGATCATCTCTACGCCTCCGATGCTCCCTCAGGTTATTTGAATTAATAATGCCCGTACAAGGAATGTTTCAAATAATTTGCAGTTTACAGCAACACCTTAACGATGCCCGTATGATGAAAACATTTTTCAACAATTGGTGTACGAAATGACTTACGTAAGCAGACGCGAGCATCTCGTTAAAGGTATTTACTTTCGATTCTTTGAAGATGGCGGACAAAATATTACTGCGTTCATGTCAACTCGCAAAGGCGCATCCCATTTTCTTTTTTAGAACTATGGATCCGATCGCACTTCTAATTCTTCGCTGATAGCTGCGACATTTTTTTGACATTTCTTTTTCTTTACGTCAGGAAATAGGTGTACATAAATTGATAAATATATTGGAACTTGAGCAATGAAAACTTGTTTATAAAACACTTTATAACTTATAAAAATCACATCAACATTTGCAATCAATTACAGAAATTAAGTTATTAAGTTAATTAAGTTATTTCCAGAAAATTCCAAAAAAAAGTAAAACTTGGCGTTAGTCAACAAAGCACTGTTAATTTAGTTATTCAAGTCTCGAGGCCAGAGTTTTCCAGGCACTGATTTGAGTTGGAAAGAAAACGGTTTCTTTCTCATATTTATGTAATGAAAATGCTTCAGAAAACATAATATGATTGAAAAAGTAGATACAGCGTAGAACTCATTTCTCTACTTTTGTGGCACCTCGAGTTCTCAATTTAGGCGAAGTGTCAGTTGATTGTTGGTGATTTAGATACTAAATGCGTTCGGTAGATATCGGTGGCAGCTATTTTGAAACGAGTAGTAAACATGCCAAGTGAAATCGAACTTTTAAACTGTATAAAATAAATGGCAAGACATTAAGTAATTAATAATTATTCAGATTTGCGCTTGCGGATTTGAGAGTATTTTTTCGATAGATTTTAGATTAAGGTGGCGTTTATCAAATTTGTTGCAAAATGTGCGATTTCAGTTTTCAAAACCATTTCTGTAATTAAATAGTTGTTTATATTTGGTTGGATAGACACAACCCCTACCTAAAATGTAAAAAAAAAGGTTTAAAAAATTTAGATATCTCAAAAAGAGATAAAATATAGCCTTACTCTCGGAGATGAAAAACTTTTATTTTATTTAAACATTTAAAACTCTGTATCTCCCAAATCATTTTTGGGGATCAATTTCGAAGACACCATGTATATTATTAGTCATATTTTTATTTGGCTAGTTAGTTTTGAGCTTTAAAATTAGGTTTCTAATAAAAAGGAAAGCCAAGGAAACTATCTTTAAGTTTATTTCACAATTTGCAACAATAAAACATTTCCCACTCTTAATCCATCTTGTAAAACGAAATGAATTCGATCCATATTGCAAAAAATATATCCGACTTCACTTACGCCAATTTCGATGTACACATCTTGTGAAACGAAAGAAATATGTAACGCAATACGATGTGTGTTATCAGTTTTCACTGAACCGAACTCCAGCAACAAATCTCACAAAGGAAACAGATCATGGAACATGACTTGAAAATAACGAGAGAAAAATGTAACATCTTCATCCGGAAAAAAATTGACGCACTGAGCAACCCAAATATAATTTTTGAAATGACACTTGATAACGGACACTGGCTGAAACGTTGTATATGTCAAATTATATTTTTCTCTTTGTCTTTGTCTGAAGCCTTTATAAAAATAACAGGTGTTATTCAAAATTTACGGTCAAATTTAATTTTAAAGAGAATATTGTTTTTTATAACAATGTAAATATTTTCGCAGCATGTTCAATTATTGTTCTTCCAAAAGCTGCTGCTTTTTGAAAATAAGTATAAAAATTTTTTCACAATTACTCAATGCTTACTCGAACGAATATTCCGAACAGGGAGGTTTGCTTTATAAAACCCAATCAATTGAGAGAATATGTACAATGTATATTAATATGCAAAATGGTAAAGAGGAATAAAAACTGTACCACCTGTATAATATCCATTGATGATTTACATGGATGTGTGTGTAAATTTTCTAATAATTAATAAATGAAATTTATAATAACGGTCAAAATATAAAAAACACTCAATCCTTGCTAAAAATACAAAACTGTCAAGAACGAGAACGAATCAAGTATTTAAAAAATCAATTTCCAAAACATTTTTTTAAACTTTATTTAATACGAGACGCGAGTCATAAATAATTTAACCATAATTAAAAATAATACACTTTTTCGTAGGTCAGTGCATATTTTCTATTTATAATTGAATTATACTGGAAACAACTATTTAAGCAAACCATTTCCCAATCAAATCTCGATTATATTTAATATTAATTAATATGAGATTTAAAAACAAATTTCAAACAATTTTTTTGTATTTTCATTTGTTGAATAAGCAATACAAAAAACAGAAAACAACTGGGGATAAATGAGCTCCATGCTACCATAAATTAAATTCAAATAAAATGCTGTTAGGATATTAATGAAAAAACGATTCTTCATCCTGTACTTGAAATATGCGACTATAAACTAATGGCAAGATATTTTTCAACGCGTTGTATTTCCTAATGAAGAAGAATTAAAATAAACTCATTAGCTTATGAAAAATTAACAGAGCTTTTTACTATTATTTTATTATTTATTTTTATTATTATTCTACATCGCTGTACCCTAGACTCCGATAGTTGCATTATATTAGACGGTGTCAAAAACACTGTCTATTAGACAAGTTTGAAATTTTAACGCTCATTGGCTATGAAGAACTACAGACTAACAAAAACTTCTTTTAAATGACAAAAATTAGCAACTAGTAACTTGATTTTGACTTGATATTATAAACAAATTGAAATTGCTTTGTTTTAATTTGTCTGTTTCAAATTGCTGTTCATATTACCAAAAATATAAAGCTGTTTTTAATTTACTCTATTAGCAGTCTTCATATGAGTACTATAAAGTTTGGACTCGAACTTAAAAACTTTAAGTGAAGAAAGTTGATAGACAAAACCATAAGCTTTTGAAAAAATTTCCATTTAGCAGGTTTTATTTTTCTTTTTTTTTGTTTTTCTGCTGCCAGAGCTAACACGAAGTTTAATTTAAAAAAAGATAATCAATTTTTCCACACAAAAACCGCAAATAAAGTCGAAACTCGCAACGACTCGTAAGTTTCCAAATTTTGGCGTCCGACCTGCAATTCGCAATAAGAATCTCACGAAAAAATTATACCAACAATGTCGACACAATTTCGCCCAAAATTCACGCGATCTTAACAGAGCGGACACACTTTTGCCAGATAATCTACATACACACTGACGCCGTGGCAATTAATTTAGAAAAAACGTTATAAAATATCTCGAGGCCGTCTTAATGATTGCCGCAACACCATCTTAGATCACAGAACGTAAAATGGGATGAATCTTCAATCTTGAAAATTGCCGTACACAGTGGGGGCGGTTGCCACAATACATTATGACTATATAAACGCAAATTCTCTAATGGTGCATCACACTTGCGGTGCATCACTTGCACTTTTAATATAGCGATGAAACAAGTAAGCATCGATTGTAATCTGATATACCTGTAGTGGTGCGCGTTTGCCGTATGTACGGGGTCCGTCGAAAATGTTGGCCGTGTGCGTGGGTGTGTAGGTGTTGGTATTCCTAGCCTGCATTTTTTTATATTTAAAACGCGTTATAATCGACAATACCTTTTTATTAATTTTAACAATGTAGTTTACTTGCAAGACTAAAGAGTAAATGGAGAATAAATGAAAAGAATTCTTAGGTCGAAGCTCTTTTAACATTTTCATATTTCGCAAGCGAATATTGTAACATAGATGTTATTTATTGTAGAATAAACGTGATTATTAATATTATTTTTACAAATTCGGCAAATTGATTAATAAGTGGGGGAAAACTTTAGACCAAAGCTTTTTCAAATTTTAATGTTTTGTTAATATTTGTTTTTATTTTATTTGTTTGTATTATTTATTACAAATTTGGCCCATTTATGTGGGGTATTTGCAAGTTTTACGCAAATGTAAAGAATGTTTAACTTTTTTCAATTTTTTATGTTCAGTATATTTTTTTTAGTATCATTAGGTTATTACAAATATTGTTCTTTACTAATTTGGCCCAGTTTAGTGGATAACATTTTCCATTTCTTGTGATTTACCTAGCCAATTGGTTAGTTTTAAATTATAGACATTGGTTTCCTGGCCATTATAACAAATTTGATTCATATGGATGGATAATCTTCCTTTGCTTAGCTGGTGGGTTAGATTTGCTTAGTTTCACATAATCTCCAAACACTAGTTCTGGGGGATTATAACCAATTGAATTCTGTAATTTTCAACACTGCAAAGAAATTTTATTTTATTATTTAATTAATTTATTTATTTCATCCACAAAGGCAGAGTTAAGGAAACGGAAATAAGTTTTGGGACATAGCTTTTCGAAATTTTGAAATTCTGTTATGTTTGTAAAAGAAATGATAAATTATTTTTATTTTTGAACAAAGTCAATTATGGTTAATGTAAATGTGGTCTATTGATTAAAAAATTCAGTTGCGCTCCTTATGCTTCCTTATTTAAACTTATCGAGTGATTTGGGTTGTTACCCGGCTAACTAAACTAACATAATTTCAAAGCTTATGTTACTAATATAATATTTAGGTTGCGTCACTATTTTCGCCAATAACAGTCATTATTGTTAACAATTCATATGATGCTGTTGGGGTCCTAGCAATCTAATATTGTTTAAAATATATCCTTTCCGAGAAACAAGAAGGAATAACGCATGCATACTCAGGATTTGAACATTTTATTGTACTGCAAATTGTTCCAATTTGGAGATACTTATCTTCAATAGCGTATGGATTTGTGGTCTGTGATAGTCGTGAAGGTTATGTAGACAAATATATATGTATGTATATGTATAATAGATATATGTAAGAACGGTTTAAGATATATATTTCTTTACAATTTTTAAATATACCACCATCATGTTTATTCTAAAAGGTGACAAGTAAAAGTTAAATATGTTCTATAAGGATTGTCCGCCATAAATAAACCAAAAACTAAACCTGAATTAAGATCGTGAAAATAATATGGAGTTAAATGTGACCTTAGTTATATGTCAAACAAATTTAGTTTAATTAATTTTTTTATCGCTCAGGTTGGTTCTGACATATCAGCATGTGACGTGTGAATATGTGACAATATTTTTGGTAGCGTTCCACTGTTTTTTATCGAAAATTATGAGGGGATGATAATTTTTTTAATAAAACAGGCGTATGTCCATTAAACAACAGACATTCTCATTGCGCCCATAAAATACTGGATCTACATAATCCGGGATAGGGTACAATTCCCATTGACATATACGTCATCCACAACAATTACAGAGACATTATATGCAATCAACATCTAAACCTCGTATTTCACTTGATTCTTTTTGATCGTAAGAATTACTAACAAAGATGCAAAAAAACCTCTTCCTCCTAGGTACTACTCACTTTGGCCTTCGCGGGGCTAACCGCCTCTGCTCGTTTGGACAACCTCCAATATCTCCCCCCTAACCAGAGACCAGGTGGAGGGTTCGGTGGACGACCTGGAGCCGGAGGCTTCGGAACTGGAACCACGCCAGGATTTGGACCTGGAGGAGCACCAGGTTTCGGTGGCGGAGCTCCTGGTTTCGGTGGAGGTGCTCCAGGGTTTGGAGGGGGTGCCCCAGGCTTCGGAGGTGGCTCTCCAGGCTTTGGAGGTGGCGCTCCCGGATATGGTGGTGGAGCCGGAGGCGGCTATGGTGGAGGCGCAGGAGGCGGTTTCGGCGGCGGTAAGTTTCGCCTTTTTGGGCAAAACGAACCAGTATTGTCTACTTTATTTTTGATTGCGAATAAATGTACGCACAGACTATAAAACGCCTCAAGGAAATAGTTATTAAATAGCTATTACTGTTAACTACTACTACTACTAGTTATTAAATAGCTATTACTGTTACAAAATTTGTCAGATAGATGTAGCAAATTTCTTAGTTCAAAATTTTTCAACTTTATTTCGTAACTCTGAAACTAGGTATTGTAAAAAATCTGCTTACGACACATCGAGTCACAAAAAGATGCTCAACATAAGCTAAAAGTACGAATTCAGATCGATATGATCATATAGGTGATAAGTGGGGGCAAACTTTGGCAATTCTTATGAACCTTAGACCAAAGCTTTTTTAAAATTTCAATGTTTTGGTAATATTTGTTTGTAGAATTTATTGCAAATTTGGAAAATTTGTGTGGGGTATTTGCAAGTTTTTTCAAATTTTTATGTTTCTTATCTTTTCTGTATATTAGGGTCATTATAAATATTGTTTTTTAGTCATTTGGATAATTGATGGATAACATTTTCCATTTTTTGTGATTTATCTAGCCAGTTGGTTAGCTAAAAGGGATGTTTTCCTAAATATCAAAAGTTCTTTCGATGTCAGAATGATTTTATCATCAGCTGTTTGGAAAAGCTTTTTTTGATACCTCGAATATATACACACACACACACACACACACACACACATTGAAAATAGATGACATCATTTTATTATACCCGTAAATAAACCGGACAAAAATAAACGTTGTGGTTTTGGTGAAATCGTGCGTAAATGATGAGTTAACTTCAACTGCATAAAAGTTTATATTTATTTGACAATTAACACACCAAACGGAAGGCGTTGCGTATAAGACTAAATGAAATGGTTGGACTTCAGTTGCAGTAATAATCGCAACTATTGGTTGGTTGGTTAATAATTATTTTATACTACTGCTTATGTGCAAAACATTATATTAAAACATATTTGGGGTACATGGAAGACCCAAAACGCTAACTTTTGTTCCGATATGTTTGTGTTTTACTTTATTTAGGTTACTATATAAAGTGTCTATACATTGGTGTTGTGTATAAAAGGCCGCAATATACCATAAAATATATATAATATACAATATAATAAGTCTATCATAAAACCAATAAAATTTTCCTCTAATATGTCATAATAAAAAAATAATAATTTCCCTAATATTGATAGACGTCAAAATTTCATTATATTTGCATTTTTAAATGACTACATAAACAAAATATATCTAAATATATATATATATATATATATATATATATATATATATATATATATATATATATATATATATATACTAGCCCACTTGATCCTTTTCACTTTTTTTAAAACCCAAATATTTCGAAAATGGTGGCTCCAAGCGACTTATATTAGGAGGACCATTTTCACGTAAAAACCTAATAACACAGAGTTATACAAAAGGTTATGAGCTTTTGCAAGTGACAAGAAACTTACAGGGCGCACGTCCTATAAGTAGCAAATTCTAATTTGACATTTCAAAACACCACCAGGGCAGCAATTTTCGTTCAGAAATCGGAATTATTTAGAAACCTATGCAAAAAATTACAAACACCTACAACAAAATACGAACACTTATTAAATAACATTCTGAGCATGCTTTCAAATTATCCTGCTAAGAACATGTATTTGCAGATGATTTAATTAGGTATAATATCAAAATAAAAAATAATATTTGATATCCCCTCTCACCCTATGCTCTGGACGGATTAGTAGATTTCTACAGATTACAGACTACCAGTTTTTTTATTGGGACTCAGTTGCACAGCTTCGATAGCTCCATGACATAAGTCTATGTCGATCCTTACTGAACACTACGCATAATATATTGCAAAAAACCTTAAATAGTTCATAAAAAAGTGTAAATTTCCATTTGTAGGAGCTGGCAGGCCGGGAGCCGGATCGGAAATCCCCATCACTCGCTACGAAAATGTCAACAATGGCGACGGAACCTACCAATATCTCTACGAAACCGGAAACGGGATTAGCGCTCAGGAACAAGGAGATGCTAGAGGCGACGGTACAAGAGCACAAGGTCAGCTCATCTAACACGACAAAATATTTGGTTTAGAAATTGATCCTAATATACATGTTTGCAGGAGGATTTGCTTACACGTCACCCGACGGTCAGCAAATCCAAATACAATACACTGCCGACGAAAATGGTTTTAACCCTCAAGGCCCCCATCTACCAACTCCACCTCCAATCCCGCCAGAAATTCAAAGGTCGATCGAACAGAATCTGGCAGATGAAGCCAGAGGTAACCGGGAAAATTATTCGCTTGTGCACGTGGTTGCATTGTTTTGAGATTTTCAGGAATTGTAGACGACGGTTCGTACAGACCAGGTGCTGACGAAGGTCGTGGAGGCGGCTACCAACCCAGCGGACCTGGAGGACGCGGCGGAGCACCCGGTTTTGGAGGCGGTGCTCCTGGTTTCGGCGGCGGTGCTCCTGGTTTCGGCGGCGGTGCACCTGGTTTCGGAGGAGGTGCGCCAGGTTCACAATACGGGGCACCAGCGCCCGGGTTTAGGCCTGGAGGTCCCGGGGGAGCCGGAGGCTTGGGTTCGGGTGGTGGTAGTGGAGGGTACAGGTAAATGATTGGTTTGAGATTGTTTTGAGGAACCACGAATAACGCCGGTCTCTTGCAGATACTAGATGATTACGCGGATCTTAGCAAATTCCTCGACGTAGAAAAGCCATAGGTGAAAGTATTTGTTTATTGGAACCTAACCATAATGTATTATATGTACTTGAACGTACTATATATACAAAGCAACTGTGTTCTTTTTATATGTAAATAGTTTACGCCCTACTTCTTGTAAGATATGTCAATAAACGAGATTTTTTAACGATGTCTTTGTTATTATAAGTACAATGTTAAAGGTTTTTTATTGCGATTTCGTAATCAAATATCAGTACAGCAATGACTTATGAAGATGTGTATTTCGATCACTCCTAACGAAGTATCTCAGGAATTAGACGAGATTGAACAAAAAGCTAAATACGAAAGTTGCTTATGTTAATTTGGAATTTTCATTCAGATTCGTTTCGCCTTGGCTACAAATGAAACACCTCTGAAAGCGGAGTTAAAGCATAGGGTTTAATCGCAACGTTTCGGAATTATTGGCGTTCATGCTCATTACATATAAATGCAACATCCCATATATTAGGCTATATACAAAATGGGTCTACCCCGGCTCATAACATATAAATGCAATATCCCATATATTAGGCTATATACAAAATGGGTCTACCCCGCTAGAGAAATATACAATCTATAGAGATATAGAGATGGGTAATGTAAGAATCTCAATGTTTCTTAGACTTCCCTTTTTTGCCGTCGCGGGTGGAATAAAGGTTTAAGTTCACAGAAATAAATCACATTTAAGAAACAGCGAAACAAACGCTCTAATTAAAATTATAGGCTTACCCCATGTCTATTCTGGAGTAAAACAGTCAAGATTTTGTTGTCCACTCAAAAAAGACCAAAGCAGCGATGTAATGATGGATTGACCATCGAGCACAGGCGAAAATCTAAGCGCGACAATTCGGCCGAAAACAAAATCCGACGCGTTTGGTGTAAGAAATCATAATAAAAAAAATTATTTAAATGATAGGTATTGCTAGAAATCGTAACACTAAAAACATTTAAAATAATCCAAATGTATAGAAAACCCAGATATCAATATGAAAACATTACCCAAAACCTGAACAGGAAATATCAATGAAATTTACTAACATAAACAGAAGGTGTTGTGTGCATTTTAGTAATACCTGGTGTGTGCAGTCTATAAATCAAGTAGGTTTGATTGAGTTGACTGTTACTTGATGGTAATCCATTACATACGTAATACTCGGTACACTGTACCTTCTTCAGAAAGAATCTCTAAACTAACTATCACAGGGTTGATTACAGACTATCCATACAGTAGATAGAATCTTTATCTAAGGGTTTAAGAGGGGAGAATTATTTAAGTCGGTTTGATCGGTTTAGTAGCGAACTTGTATATTTCACTTCATTAATTTCTGTTATTTCTAATAAGTTAAGTTTTCTGCTTTTGCCTTGACTATGTAATATTTTAACATCGCTATTGACGGAATATCCTGTTTCTATTAAATGATTAAATGAGTACAGTGTACCGAAACAATTGTCAAAGCAATAAACATGTGTGTGGTACTCCAAGCAAGTGTTTGTTTTTATTAAATTACGTAAATCAAGGTAGGTATTGCTTTTCGAACAAACGCAGTTTCATTTTGATACTATACGTGTATTCGGCCTAGTTATGTTTTATACACTGGGTCTATACCCCAGAAAAAGTCTAGCTTGCGTCCGTGTTGCTTGAGCCAATCCATCCATCAGAACCTCTACTTAAATTATTCTCTATGGCAGAACTATAGTGCTGCTAATTTAGATTTGATCGTTCTTCCATTGATATTCATTGACAGTTTATCAACCTATTAAATTTAATAACCTTTTTCTTGTTTTAACGGCTCGAGTAATGAGTGTTTTTTCGTTTGAATGTTTTAACTGAAGTAGTGGATATAGATTGCTCAGTCCAAATAATTTTGTGCTCTATTCTGAAAGTCCAGCTCTACAAGTTCGTGCACAGTCGAAAAAACGATTGAAGGATTGTTTTTCTGAAAAATGGGATACAAATATGCGTGCCAGGTGGATGTTTCAGGACTGCCTTCAAAATTCAATAGAATATCAAGCTACTTCTCTTCACTTCTAACAGATATTGCTTCAGTTTTATCACCAAATATTCTACATTCTGCAACATCAATTTTTCCTTCCATAGTAAACATTATTGATGAACAATTATTGACGTCAAGCACTATTATTGCAGAAATAATTGGGAAAATAGGCTTCGTACTGAAGATGATCACCAATAATTTAGAAACGATGATTTGTAGACCTATCATATTATACATCGTTGAATTCGCCTTTCAGACGTACCATAAACCCCATGCTGTTATACATCGTGGAACTACTGCCTAAATAGGTATTAATATCCGTTGACATGAACATCCATTTGACATGAAAATATAATGAATGAAAGCTGAAAATTAACCCAAGCAACCTATTTGTTCAATCTCTTCTAGTTCCTAAGATAAGATAATGGTGACTCAAACGCGCCACCTGGTACAAATCTGATAACTTTATAATGTGTATTACTCATAAAATAGGACATCAGTATGCACTAACAAAGGTCGCAAAGAACCGTCTAACAAGAGAAATAATATATATGGAACAAGAAACAAAATAAATATCATTTTCTATCTAATAGCAGGTCAGATGAATTTCTTCGTTGAATATTAAAATTTAGCATAGTTTAGACTGTTGAAATATAACTTATTTTCTAAATTTTCTTCAGCATTGCAAAATGTGTCAATATATGTTTAATGAATTTTAGACTTACTTTTAACGCACTGATGTTCATGCTCTTTAAATTATTTTAAAATTTATATAATACCTTTTCATGAGTTGATTAAATAAGGTTCGGCATTTTTAGAGCTCCATGTGATATAGCTATGAACTGGTTTGTTGATCAGATCTTTCTGCGTCCCAGGCTAACGTAGGTCTCTAGCAAGACGTATGCGGTTGCAATTCACCGTCATGCGCAAGAGACTATCGACTGTACATTTGAGTTATTTTGAATTGTATATTATGCAACAAGTTTAACAAACTTCATTTTAGTAACGAGTTTAATTGGTCACCAACGGAGCGCAGTCAAGCAGTGCTTAATAATTGTGTGACATACTACACTTTCACTACGACCATCAGTTTTTCGGTACATTTAAAAATGGACAAAGAAGCTGACGTCTTAATTGATTTTTCGATGTTTAATCGATGCATATTTGAACATTGAACACTTTTAGGTCGATTTTTTATTATATTTTCAACCAAAACATTGGCCACGTGACTAGCACCTTATAACTAAAAAAAAAACATATGAAACTAATTTTGGGCGACAATCCCTATGCAATAAAATATCGAAGTTTTATATTTTTAATTGGAGCCCCCTGTATATTATAGCAGTTTTTGAGCTTTTCATCAAAACAAGTGACTGTTTTAATAAGGTCTTAAAACTTATCATTGAAATTCCATCTAACCTAATATGAATATTTGAAATAATATTCAGGTTAATGAATACTATTCAAATAGCAGTCAAGTGATGTAAGGGAAATTTAAAATATATAACAGTAACCCTTAATTTATATTTAATTATAAAGAACACCTTATAGAGGGTATTAAAAAATTTAAACCACACTAAAACCAATTTTCTTTGGCTATAAATTGACGAATTTATTTTGTTGCTTTGCTATAAAATCTATAATAGTATATTATGCAACAAGTGCGGTAAACGGCATTTGACTCAAGAGTTTATTTGACACGAGCGGAGCGAGTGTTTCATAAACGAGTGACTTAAAAAGTTGAAATCTTATGATTCACTGCTACAAACTGAAACGTGGTTAGGAATCAAAATTACGAGAAGTGTCTTTAAATAAAGGGTGTTTTTTTTTCGATGTATAGAACTTTAAGTTGGCATGGCGATCGATTTAACAGCTGTTAAGTGATTTATTCTCAGTTTGGTTTCATCATGAATAGACTCAAGCATGAACAACGCTTGCAAATAGTGCAATTTTATTTCGAAAATAATGGTTCTGTGCGGAATACGTATCGCACACTACGTCCATTTTATCGTCGACAAAATCGACCATCAGAGCAGTTAATTCGATTAACCATGGAACGTTTTCGCACCACCATGAGTCCATCCGTCATCGAGCACAGGAATTGGATCTGTGTCCATCCACTTTATGGAAGATTTTTTTGTTTAGCGATGAAGCGCACTTCTGGTTGAATGGCTACGTCAACAAACAAAACTGCCGCATTTGGAGCGAAGCTAATCCTCAAGTGTATGTCGAAACACCGTTACATCCAGAAAAACTGTACTTCTTCAAAAACGATGATGGTCAGAACGTTACAGTCAATGGTGATCGGTATAGAGCTATGATTACTAACTATTTCATTACTGAATTGAATAACCATGATGTCCAGGAGATGTGGTTTCAACAAGACCGCGCAACATGTCACACAGCTCGTGCCACAATCGATTTATTGAAAGACAGGTTTGGTGACCGCCTAATTTCACGCTTTGGACTTGTGAATTGGCCTCCAAGATCTTGTGATTTACCACCGCTAGACTACTTTCTGTGGGGCTATGTAAAGTCATTGGTATATGCGGATAAGCCACAAACGCTTGACCATTTGGAAGACAATTGCCGATATTCGACCACAAATGTTGGAAAAAGTCATCGAAAATTGGACGTCCAGATTGGACTACATCCGGGCCTGCCGTGGCTGTCATGCCAGAAATCATATTTAAAATGTAATGCCACAAGATTATCTTTTGGATAGATAAAATTCATGTCAATCGAATAATCCATCGTTGTTTTATTGCAACTTAAAGTTCTATACATAAAAAAAAACACCCCTTATAAGGACAATTTTGCAAGAGCTCCACAAATTTGAAATACAAACTTTCAGCGTAATTGAAAAAAATGGGTTTTGAAATTCATATCCCCAAATTTGACTCTACTAGGTATTTTTTTTATTTGCGATACATGAAATGCATTGTCATCAACTCACCTCCAACGAGACCATCCAATGCGATAGATCATTTTATCTTGTCTCTCAGAATCGAATAGCGCGCGAATTGTGTGCTCTTTTTCGTATTCTCAAAAATTCTCAGAGAACAAAGTTATATTGCTATATATTCTCCTTCTCTTCCTAATTACTTTGGTAAAAGTTTGTAGGTCTTTGTCGAGCACCTAAGTGTGAGAATTATATTGAAACACTAAATATTGCCATGTGGCACTAACGTATAAAAAAAACACACTGGAAACTTTTCTCTGAAATCCTAAGCTATCCCGACTGCATTCGGCACACAAATTTTTAAAATATTGTTTTATTTCCTCCTACCGTTTTTTCTATCATTCTATATTACACCATTTATTTTTTAGTGGGATTGCGATTGATAATGTAGAATGCATATTTTGATAGTATTAAATTTTATTCGGTTTTGTTCATATGTTATGAGTCAAATACTAAATTATAGTAATAATAATTTTGAAAGAGACACAACACGAAAACTTTCAATTACATAATCCCAAAAAGTTAATAATTATACAACCTTTATTTTAAAAATTTTAAAATTATTTGTAGAACCACTATAGGCTCAAGACATTTATCCAGTGCTTCTAAAACAATTATTTTATAAATAATACCGATTTCTGTGTGGTCGTTATTTGATAAGGGAAATTAGACTTTGAGAGCACCTTCTCCATATTTTTTACAAAAAATATAACACAGGGTCATACAAGAAATTATGCGTTAAATTAAGAAAAAATTCAACCCTCCAGGCTTTTTATAAAATTTTTGGATTCCTCCTGCGTTCGGTTTTTGTTGACTCGAACTAGCTAACGTTTCGCCAATCATCCCGTGGGCTTCTTCAGTAGTTTGACTGAAGCTATTCCAGTTTCAGTTCAGTTTCAGTCAAGCTCTAAAGAAGCCAACAGGATGATTGGCGAAACGTTAGCTGGTTCGTGTCAACAAAAACCGACGCAGGAGGAATCCAGAAGTCTAATAAAAAGTATTAAAGTAGCCTGTGGAAGTTTCTTTAAAAAAATCCAGGCACCAATTTTCGTTCAGAAATCGGTACTACAAAGCACAAAAAACAGAAATATAATTAAAATTGTGACATCCTGTATCTCAAAAAGGAAGCATTTTATACCAAATTTTTAAAATATTTTTATAACTTAAAAATCCTTGAGAAATCCCCTGTTAAATTTTGGGCCATTATTAAATGACACTTTGTTATTGACAAAAAAATACCTAGAATTGCTTCACTGGTTTTACGAGATGGCAGGAAATTTGATCGGCAGGAAGCTCGCTATTATACATCTGCGCATCGGAAGTGTTCGTCATCGCAATACCATTTCCTCAAAAAATTTGATATTCAAATTTGATTTTCGAACAAAATAACGAAACGCCAATTACCAAAAACAGGCAATTACAAATCCGCAAATTTTTCAGTAATCGACAGCAGGATGTACCATTGTTAAAAAAATCGCTGCACCAGAACAATGAAGCATTCCGCCCGAAGAAGAAGATCAAGTTTATCGAGATGACCTTAGAAATTAATCCGTTCCCCAAAAACTGACATTTCGGCGGATCATCTTTTAAGGTGGGGTCCCAGCGCTATAAAAGCCAATAATCGATTTTTGAAATCATCACAATTCCACTTGCACTTGTTTGGGTGTTCAGTGAAATCGTTTTGTGACAAGTGCGTTTTTTTTGGGATTCCATTTCGAAATGGCCAAACAGGTAATGTTGATTTTGGTTAGTACTTTGGTAAAATCAAAATAGCGCTAACAGAAAAGTTGTTTTTACCTGTTGGTATCGTATTTTAAAAAACGAAAGTTTTGCGGCTTTGAAAATGATGTCATTGGTTGGAAAATTTTGGACACCCGTTAGGCCATAAATCAATTCTCAATTACAGTTTCTAGAGAATGATTTTTTGCTTTCCGTTTGCTATAGTGACAAATGCTATAGTGACAAATGCCTCCAGTCAAGAATGATAATAACACTTAAATTTTTATTTCCAACAGCTAACATGACCCAATCAATTATTAAATGCATCGACAAGGAAATGGTCTTAAATGGAAGTTGTTAAAAATGGTCAAAAATTAAAAAACAAGCTTGCCGTATGCTAGAGACAAAATAATTGCTGAAATGGTTCATCAAGTTTTAAATTTGTCTCCTCCTTGTATATTTAATGTAATTGGTGTAGGCTTAGTGCAAAATATTTTTTAATAAAAATATGAGTGAGGCAAGGCACGACGATACTACCAGACACTTACCAACGAAAATTGGATCAGTTGCATAATACTGTATATAATACAAGAATACTGGGAAAAAGAGAATACACTTAAACAAACGTGATCATTAGTGATGGCTGTCTTACATTGATCACATAGACATTAAAGGCGGAACAACATCTGTTTGAGTATAACTCAAAGCAAGATGAACAATATGTTTATTCTGTCTGGCATTTGATTGCCGCCTATGAGATCAACAATCATACGGAGTATATTTGCAACAGTTTCATGCAAACAGCTTTTCTATTTCATATTTTTTGATAAAGCAAACTCATATGAAGGTATAAAAGAATCCATCGGTAATTTGTATTATTTTTTATATTTTAAAATTTTAACCAAGTAGAGCTAGGAACTCTTACGAAAGTTAATAATCAAAAAAAATTATACAGGCTATCCCAGGTGCTAATCGAATAAGTTCGGAAGCATGATAGTTTTGAAATTTTTTGTTTTTTATTCTATTCTATTCCAAGAGTTTGGTTAAATAACGATTTCGGTACAAAACTTGAAAAGAAAATAATGGATCGATCTAACAAAATGATGTGATCGGTAAATTTCTTGAAAAAAAAAAACTCTAAAAGCGTAAAACTTCCTAAATAGGATGGGAAATAAAAATTTTTAAATTCCAATCACACTCGCTTTAACTTGGGAGAATTATGATCCAAAATGAATCTCCCTGTAGGTGTAGATAAACGCCAAACTGCCATTATGATTGAGTTTTTGTTCCTCAAATGTGTTACTTCAATTTATTATGGAAATGCTCTTTGGGGTAAATTGAACATAAATAAAAAATCCAGTAAACTACGACGCCCTTAGGAGAGGATGTCGAACCGTAGTTAATTTTTGTATATTTAGTGCAGGGAATCCACCAAACTTTGCTTTTACAATAAGGCCATTTTGTGTATATGTTACTGGCCTAAGTTTTTCATGTTGCTCTGTCTTATTTGTAGGTATTCATAGTAGCAGCTATCTTGGGCTCAGCCATTGGTGCTCGGCTCGACAATCTTTATCTACCAGCCAACCAGAAATCATTCTCCAGCGGTGGTAGCTATTCGGGACAGTATTCTTCCAACCCAAACAACCAAATACCTATTCTAAGGTTGGACACGGATAATAATGGTGAAGGAACGTACAGGTAGGTTTGGTTTTTTATTATATAAGAAGTCAGCGGCCAAACTTAAAAGGGTAAAGTGGCAATTGAGGAACAAAATAAATAATGATATCTGTATATTCATTTGATAGATAGATATTTATTTCGCGTATCGATACTACATATATCACATATATGGTTATATTAAGTACGTCACATCACATTAAAATACAGTGTTTAAACAATACATTTAAAAAATTCTTTCCTTAAACACAGATAAACTATCTGTTTCTTTGAAGCATTTATAGAAATTGCAAGCTCTGTTATATATTTTTAAGCCAAATTACCTTGGGTTTTGTTGCCCGATATGCAGAGATGCTAGAGAATGGAACGTTCAAGTAATCCTTTTGCCATGTGTGTGATGTTCGTGAAGTCACATCTCATATTCCATATTGTCATGTTACTTTTAACGTAAATCAAAACCCTAAATAAATCCCTACATGAACGTTTACCAGTTACACGCATCATGTAACGAATAGCACTTTTTGTGCTAAGAAGACCCGGTGTGCACCAGTGGCTAGACCCCAATAGATAACGTATCACTGATTGGAACAACCACCACAGTATACCAGCTTTAAAACTTCAATGGATACCCTATCTCTAATATTTGAGCAAATCGTTAATAAAACAATTAAAGAGGAGCGGCAGGATCCTTGCGGGGTACCGCTGCGTACAGATTCAGGACTCGATTTTGAACCGTCGATCACAACCTACTGTACTGTCTAGGAGAGATAAGATTTAACCCATGAGTTTCCAGGACCTCTAACGCCCATATTTTTCAGTTTTTTTAAGAGCAGGCTGTCGTAGAGCCAGAGCATAGTCCTGAGCTGTACTTGTGAATCGGTTGGCACTGAACCCTTTCTGAGCATGAGAAATCAAAGAATATTTTCAATGAACCTCTGCAGTCAGCCATTATTACAGGACTCAAAGATTTTTGCCACTTGACATTGAGTAGCTAGCGGGCGGTAGTTCTCTATGCTGGTTTTATTGCCTTTATTTTTAAAAATAGGTACGGTTTTTGAGTATTTTAAGGCCTGTGGATACTTGGCCTGAAGGAAGCTTAAATTGACTAAATATGATAGAATAGGAACCATAATATCTTTAATAGAAATCAACCAAGTGCCCGGTATTTCATCGATTCCAGATGATTTCTTACGGCATACTTTTCCAATTACTTGTTTTATCTCTACTGTAGTAGGGTAGAGAAACATAGAGCTTGAGTGTATTTGGATATCGGGATTTTGAGGCTGTTTGCTTTTGTTACCAAAATCAACAAAATATATATTAAAAGTTTCTTAGATTTTGTATCCGTCTTTAAGTGTTTCACCACCGACGGTTATGTTAGTTATAGAAAAGGATTTACTTTTATGCTTGCCATTTTCCCTGACTGTTGCCCAACTTTCCCTACTTATGTTATCAGATTTCACTAACCTTAAATTGTGGTGAGTTTTTATTGCGGGTTTAAGATTTTTGTTGCGAGAGGATTTAAGTAATAGGTTTAAGGTTTAAATATTTGTTTTAGTTTTTCGTAAAAAGTGTTAAAATTTAGTTCTTGAGGGTCTTTCAATCTTTGAAGTAAATCCGGAGAAGTCACTTACTTTATAGTAAGTGGACCAAAAAATATTTTGTGTTCGAAAAATCTTGGTTCACTTTTGCTGCAGTTAAGCCTTCCTTTAAAAAAACTAAGCATTATTTAAGATAACGCAAAATGCAAAAATACAAAAAATTGAGAATGGAAGTTCAAAATTCAAAAATTGAATACCTTTTAGATAAAAAATTATAGGAGAATGTTGTTTCTAATTGACTTTACTCCCTTAAATTTGATCGTCTACTTCAGGAACATCATACGTATCTCTATAAAATAGTTATTTAGTCATATAATTCCTTGTAGCGTGTTCAGATGTTGTCATTTTGATTGCGAAGGGCTATTGAATAAAAAAAAATTACCTATACATATAATCTAATAAGACAATAATAATTATTCTATTCTTAAGGTTATGAGAGTGAAAGTAAAAGTGTAATTACTTTAAACTCATGCTGTGCCTTTGATATAATGGAATCTCGTGGCGAGATGGCATACGCTACGCTACAACAATTGCTCGAAGCGTCTTGGCACTGGGTAACCAGTTTCTTCAGAGACCGTCTCACATTCAACTATTGAAATTAGAGTCATCTTTTAGAATATCTTCGTATCGACTCGGATCTAGTACATTACATTTAAACCACCTGACATTATATTAAGTTTTTAAATTTTTATCCTTTTCTATTCTAATCAGCTACGCTTATGAGACCGGACATGGAATCTCAGCCCAAGAACAAGGCGATGCCAGAGGCGACGGCACCAAAGCCCACGGCTCGTACTCTTACACTGCACCTGGAGGTGAACGCGTCTCCATCACCTACACAGCCGATGAGAACGGATACCAGCCCCAAGGATCTCACATCCCCACTCCTCCCCCAATCCCGGAAGCCATCTTAAAATCTCTTCAGCAGAATGCGGCCGAAGAAGCTAGGGGTGTTTTCGACGACGGCCAGTACAGGGGTGAAGGTCTGGATGACGGGCAGTACCGCGCCCAAGGTTACAGCACCAAGGGAGCCAGTTCAGGAGGCCATTTTGGCAAGAGTGGATCTAGTGGATTCGGAGGTTATAAATACTAGGACACTCGTGTGGAACTATTTATTTACCTATTGTATGTCTGTAATTTATGTATTATATTTTTATATGAAACCCAATGTACGCAACTGCTGTAAATAAAGGCACTATTTTGGAAATTTGGTTTCATTACCGGCCATGGAAACTGCGGCGCTTAAGAGGAAAATTTCGATGAAAAACAAATAACAAAAAATCAATAGCGGTATACATTTCAATTCTAGTTGCTACACTAGGCGTCCTGCACATATTTTTAGATTTACATTTAATTAGTTCTAAAATACAATAAGCAACCTCCATAATATTTTTCCTAAAAACAAAAATATATTCATTCTGTAATTAATCCCGGAAAGCTTGTCCACGGCCTTTAATTTTGACGTCATACAAAAACGCTAAAGTTGTATAATTTTTGCAGTATTATCTTTTAGACTTAGAAAACAAATGCGCATCGCAAAGTTGAGAAACATAGCATATTATGTCGAAAGATCTTTTTTCCCTGATTTCAAAGATGTATTGATTGTTGATGTTTGTATAAGTCGTTCTCGAATAATTTAATTTTTTAAATTTTAGATTAACTAAACAGATGTTAAGCAAGTTGGTCAGACGTTCCACAAATTGAAATTTTCAGTTAGGGAAATGGGTTAGTCAGAGTAAGAAAAGCTTCAAGTAGTTCGTCTTTTCTGTTTCAATAAGTATTAACTAATAATATTAAAAATTATATAACAATGGCAATAATGATAATTAAACGAACAATAATGAAAATATAACGTGAAGTAAATAAATGGCTTCTGTGTTTCTATATATCCAGCATGATTTGCCAAACATTTTCAAATGTTGTCTCTCATTTTGTGATGAATCGCCTTCAAAATAAAGTTGGCTCAGCACTCGGTTTACAAATCTTCATGAATTGTACCATATCTGCCTATCCGATGATCATATCTGTCATTTAGGTATTCAGTAAAAGGCCTTCCAAATAATTTTTCAATATTATTTTGAATTAAATCTAAATATCGATTGCCCGTCGGATATCCATCAAGAAAAATCGGTCTGATTATTTGGTTGGCCAGCATGCCGCACCACACAGGATCTACGGCCCTGTATTTTTACTGGTTGAATTTTATATGAGTTTTCATTTACTCAATGATACTTATTTTACCTGCAGTCGTCAGCAAAAATATTTTTCCCAAAAAATCGGGATCCTGTGTTATATGACCCGACATTTCTTGACAATGTTTGTAACCTTTGAATTTTATTTGTTTACTTCAGATAAGCCTTGAACTGGAATACATGAGTAAGGATGATATTAATAATATTTTAAAGTGGACTCAATCATGTAATATGACTTCCCCAATTATAAGGCAACAATCAAGATTGAACTTTCATGGTTTTCTTAAAAATAATCCGCAATTTGCTTTACTTTTAATTATTATTCATAAAATTATAGCTTCAAATGAGAACCAAATATTCTTGTAGATGAAGATGCATTCTTAACAACAGTTCTCTTTTTTCAACTGAGACTTTTTTTATTTTGTCAGCTGACGATACCCGTCGCCGAGGATTAACTAATTAACAAAAATATATAGGGTGTTCCATTTAAAAATAAATTACTTTAGTTTCTCAGTTATGCATTGCGCATTTATTTTCTTTTACATGTCTGGAAGATAATATTGCAAGAATTTTGTATTAAAAGTTTTTCTCGTTAACCCCTTTAGGTGGGTACGCAAATATTAAAAATACATGTTCATGTTATATTTTTACATTGTTTGATCTGTGGTTTGTGTTTGATTTTATTCTTTTGTTACGTTGCCTAACACGATAATGTTTTTAGAGAATCTTCGTACTAGGCATACAGGCAGTATAGGGTTTTTTCAATTTGAGCTAACATAAATTCACTTAAATGTTTTATATTCACACCTTGGAAATATGTAGGTTATATTACCAAAATAAATACGCAAGCATTTTTTGTTTTGTGATAGATCTGAATAAGAAAACTCCGGAGATTCTGCGTGTAGAACTAAAACGAGAAAATAACATTTGCATAGTAAATTGTAAGATATGCCCTGAACATAGGTATTGTTTCTTTAGTTTCTATTTCTAAAACTGCCTCCAATCCGTATCGCTTAAATAACTAGTCTCAGAAGCTGTACTTGGTCTAAAGTACGAGACACGTGATTTCGAGGAAACGTAAACCAATGTTTTTACACTTTGCAACTTAATTAGATATGATACAATATTTGTAGTTTTAACAGGAAATGAACCCAATATTGAGTGAATATTGCACTAAATCGATTTAGTTACACTTTCTCCGCAGGTTTATTTGTACTCGTGCAGAACATTGGCCATCCACATGACTCACGAGTTTATTTGGCACGAGCGGAGCGAGTGTTTAATAAATGACGGTCAGTTTTTGGATACGTTTTCGCAAAACAACACAAATTCATTCACTGGTATGACCGTCAGAATTGCCAAAGTCAAAATTCTCCGGAAACATCCGATTGCCCCCATACTCTTGCGGTAAAATCCCGGAAATGTCCGAAGTGACTCGGATCTATGGGGAACGATTAAGTGGTGAACAAGTAAGTCCCTTGAATTTTCAAATAAATAATAAATATACGGGGCTTTTTAATGAAATATCTCCATGTTCGAGTCTAATGGCTTTAGTCGTATTTTTCCTTGCGTTTCTTGAATACGTAATTTAATAAATGTTTTTCCCGGAGCAGAAATGGTTGTAGTTTTACAACCTGGTACAATGCAATAAAGATCGACCATTTTCAACCCCAAAATAACTGAAAACATTAGGCTGAAAACTGTCAATACGTCCGCATTGAGTTTTTAGCTGGAAATTGTTCAATTTCTCTCAAAGTATAAATATTTAAAGGGGATACTTCTTAAGTTTTATTCAATATTTAATTTATTTTAATGATGCTCCTAGAAGCCGCTACAACAAGACGTCTCTAATTTTATCTATATATTTATAAAAGTTAAATAGAATAACTTAACGGACCTTTTTTTGTTGCAAAATGTATTCTTTCTCAATACCATCATAATTTTTAAACTTTTTTGAGATATCTGCGACCAAAGTGTTACTACACCTAGTAGATGGATCTTGAAATACTAAGTGTAAATTTCACTAGACTTCTGTCAAATAATAGTATTCCGCTGTTTTTAGTATCATTGTATTATTCTTTATTCTTTGATTCTTCATTTTGAAGATTTTTGTACTTAGGAAACTTTAGAAGTGCAGTGACAGGTTACCAGAATTACAACTACTATTGTAAAATCTAACAACATTGCTATTAGAGTTTTTGAATCCTGCATTTCCAAAAACCTCCAGGTTTTGAATAATATATCTCTAGCTTTGACAGTTTTACAGATACTTATGAGCTCTATTATTAATAATTACAAATTTTGTAATTTATTTATTATTTTAATGCAATTGTGGCTTTGTTATTTTAAAATAACTGTATACAGCTATAAGCATACTTTTGAAAAACAACACATTATCCCACTCAAAACAAAATATGTTTTGGTCAGTATTCTGCATGGGAAGAAGAAGATGAGATTCCCTTGATTTTCCTAAGTGAACCCCTGAAAGAAAAGAGTGAAGACGAAATCCAAATAGAAATCGAGTTTAAAGCTTGGACAAACATTAGAGGTATAGCAGAAGGTAGCACCATCAACGATTTTATACATGTGGATGGGGATATTGTTACTTCAGAGTTTCCTACTGATGAATATATTACCGAATCCTGCAGATCCGAACCGGTACAGCTAAACATCGAAGATGACTGCGAAAGTGACACGATGGAGGAGGAATTGGAAGATGATTCTCAGCAACCACCTTCAAATGAATTGGTTGAAAATTCGTTGATTGTCTTGTGTTCCTATTTGAAAACCCGTATATATAAACATAGTATGTATGCACATATACATACATATGTATGTACATATTAAACTTTACTCTTTCACTGGAAAAAAGTCAGTTATTTGTGACTCACCACCGGATTTCTTATTTTGGTTTTATACAAAAGTTTCAATTTTGTTTAAACAATCGTAGAGGGAATCGGTTGTGTTGGGTACATATACAATACATTTGTATGTACATATATTATGTAAATACATACATACATATGTACTACTATTTCATAATTTTCGTTTTTTGTTCAAAAATTATAGATATTAGGGCATTTTTAAAAATGAATGAATAAATATTTATTCACAAAAAAGTACAGGCATTTGTAGTTTTTATTGATAACTCGAAGTCTTAATAACTCGAAATTTTCATGTGTCATATCGCAGTTCGGCTTATTGAAGTTCGACTGTACTTAACAAAACAGCATCTTCTTTGTTTTAAAGATAAGTGCGATTCCCTCCAAAGGTATTTCCTATACAGGATGTCATTTTGGCGAAACAATAGGTTTGTGATGGGAATGGTACCATCAAATAAAGAGTACCATAATGGAAATAATATTTCAATATACATTTTATTTCCCAAAGTCTACAAGTATATGTTGAGTTCTTCTTATATCTAGGTTGTCCAATAATCTTAAATACCCTTGAAATTGTTATTTTCAATTGAACCCTTTGATCATCTTGTTGATTTTGTCTCTATTTAACTATTAATATAGTTATAAAAACAATTTAGAAATAAAGCAAAGAACGAAATGAACTCAACACATATAAAGTGAAGCTGAACATAAATAGAAACTATCTACTAATATCTATATCCGCTAAATCCACTAGCGGCACCGCCGGCGCTAACATCTGGATTACCACTCCTGCCGCTAACTCCACCGTTGCTGTTACCCTGAAAACGATATTCTCCCTCCTCCAATCCCTCACCCCTGTATTGACCGTCATCAAAAATGCCTCTGGCTTCATCAGCGGCATTCTGCTGTAATGCTCTAGCGATAGCTTCTGGTAGCGGTGGAGGGGTGGGGATGTGAGAACCCTGAGCTTGGAAACCGTTCTCGTCGGCTGTGTAGGTTATGGAGACTTTTTCACCTCCGGGGGCCACGTAGGAGTAGGATCCATGAGCTTTCGTACCATCACCTCTTGCGTCTCCTTCTTCTTGAGCCGAGATATCGTTCCCGGTTTCATAGGCGTATCTACATATATTATAATTATCACAACAAAATTTAAAATTGAAGATATGCTTATCATTTCCTTTTATTCTAAAAGAGTTTAGCACCTTATCTTGGCTTTGCTTATCGTTTTTGCGCAGAAATGCGGTTGCTGAATAGAACATTAGTTTAGAAAACATTAAATGAAATTAATTAATTTTCCAAAGAAACTTCCACATGCTACTGTAATAAATTCAACGTGCTGACGTTTCACCAGTCATCATGTTGCCTTCTTCAGAGCTTAACTGAAAATGACTCGAATTCTACTCTGTACCGGAGTTTAAAGAGAGACGTGACTCCCATATTGGTGAAAGGTAAAGCCCAGAGTCGCGGTTAAGATTGTTTGACGGATCGAATGTGTTGACAGATTTTTGGACCAGTGGTGAATCGGGTTTTGAGGTTATATTTTTTAACAACTATTGATATGTGGTCAGTGATGTTTTGAATGAAATGAAGAACAACAGTGGCTGCTTTCGGACTCATTGTCTTTGGATGGCTGTGGTGAAGTGTAGATTATTTGTAATGAGAATGACCCAATGGCCTTATCGCGTTATGGCCTCTACAACGTAACAAAACAAAAAGTAAGTGAAGAATTGAAATTAAATTTCATTTTTAAAAAAGCTGTTGAAAAAGATAATGGGATGGGATCACTTAGTAAATGTGAAGCCCCATGAAATGAACCAAGAACATCTCAAAAAAATGAGATATTTGAACATTCACGTGTAAGCCATTCTTTAAAGAGTAAATAGTCCAAACATGGGTACTATCTATAGCACTATTCCCGTCTGTTGGTGATGGTGTCCAATAAGTATTGAAGGCTAGGAAATTTTTGCTTTTGTTCCGTTATTGGTGCTATTTATGGTATTTAGGATATTATGGTTTAAAAATACTGAATTTAACTTGACTTTTACTTGATGAAAATCCGTTTAACACAATTAAATTAGAACAAAAAATGTTTCCTATTAATTGCTCAATGCATATTTTATGGCACACAATTTATTGAAGGGTCCTAAGGTAAATGCAGTGACAAATATTCAAGGGCAGAAAAACAACCAAGTTTGATTGCTTTTTGTTTTGAGATAACAATTATGGTAAACAAAAGTTTTCATGATGGTTATATTAAATAAATGTTGAGGAAGTAAATGGGCAACCGGTATTCAAACCACTTCTTCAACCAACTTTATTAGCATTCAATTCATATTTCAACCAACACTTATTAGCATTTGAAAAATAACTTACCTATAAGACCCTTCTCCGTTGTTATCGGCATCAAATTTGAGAACGGGAATGTGTTTAATTTGATTAGAAGAATATTGCGGTTGGTCCTCAATGTTCGCAAACGATTTTTGATTGGCAGGGAGGTATAAGTTGTCTAAACTGGCACAAAGGGTCGATTTCGTGATCAAAAGTAAAGCTAACACCTAAAAACAAAGTTTACTCTTGGGTACGTTGTGCAGATGACATGGAAAGCTTCTGGTTTTATCTGCTTAGAGTGGCAAAAGCTTCGCGGGTATTTAGAATCAATTAGTTAATAAGTATGTTAATTTTTCAAAAAAACCTTTGGGTTCCTCCTGCGTGGGTTGTTGTTGAGTCGAGCTTGCTGACGTTTCGCCAATCATCCTGTTGAAACTGTTCAGTTTCAGTAAAGCTCTGAAACAGCCAACAGGATGATTGGCGACGCAGGAGGAATCCAGAAGTTTTGTAAATAATATTATGTACGTTTTTAAGTGCTGTGACCAAATTTAATGAATGTCCATAAGCCTAGATAAAGATATAACAACTAAAAATCCAATAGATGAGGTAATATTTCAGGTAGGTAATGGACTCAGATAAAAACCTCCAATGTGGTATTAATAATCCTAGTATATGCTGTCAATTTAAGTGTCAACAGCAATAACGATAATAGTAAAATGGGAAGTACATAAGCGATATTCATCCCAATGAAAAGAAGCAGTAATGATTCTCCCTCATCAGTGACAGAAAAAGTCATTGCTTCAAATGTACATGAGTGATTTAGACGTGATATTATTAACGGCTAGAATTACGTTTTTTTATGAAATAAAATATTTACTTAAAGAAATTTTGCATTTGAATATTTGGTAATTGTCACAACCAAAGTTTGTCATTTGACGACGATCCACAAATATTAAATTGTGTATTTCAGGTCAGTATTTTTTCGTACATCTCTTCAATTTATTTAATGTAGGAGGTAAATAGTTGTATTAATAGTATAAATAGTATTAATAGTATTAATAGTATTAATAGTTGCATTAATCACTCACCTGCATCGTCATTTTGTTGCACATGATCAAAATCACACACTGCGCCGAAATCTTGCTTCCAAGCAGAACTAATCCTAAAGATGATGTTGCAAGAGATCTTCTGATGATCCGATAAACCGATTATCGATTTTTATAGAAAGCCCATCCCTAAGGATGGCACACGTTAATGTCAACGATTATTTGGAACCCAAATCAAGGTCTAATTCTGCAGCAAATAATATCGAAACAAGCCTCCATAACGATGTGGAATTTAGAATATGTGGGGCGTAATCGTCTATTGACTTTGGTGCGATTTCGTAATATATAAATCAAATACATATTTTCTTTGGATTAGGGGTTATCGTTGTGGACTAAAAGAAGAAGAACAGGAGAACGACATAAGGGGTGTTTCACGGTGTGCTTCATATTGTATTGTTCTGAAAATTTGGTTAGTTCCATAAGCGGCGATGCTCTATCGTTCTAAAATATTTTGATTGCTGCGACGGTGCCGCTTCTTCGAAAAAGTATCATAATGATTAAATTTGTTATTGTATTTTGTATATTGTATATTATTGCATGTATATTATGTTATTGTATTGTATACTGTATACTATTGCATTTTCCGATCCGCTGATATTTTATGACTGTTTTTTGAATAATACGTTCTTAAACTTATCTTAAGCGGTTTTCGAGAAGATATTGTTTTCTTCACTTTCCGACCTAAACATAGTTTCAATGAAATTTTTATGACTACGACTCTGGAACCAGGTTAAAGCTTTGGACGCAACTTAGGAAGATACTGTATATTATTTCTCAATATTGAAATTGGTCCTATCGTACAGGGTTTGTCAAAACTAATTTGCCTCCGAGATACAAAAATAGTAAAAAGTGCATTTTTTAATAGGACACCTTGTTTATTGTCATGTATTCTAAGACCAAATTAAATTCCTTTTCGAATGTATGTATGTTACATGTGTTTAAAAATGATTTTATATACTTGGAACATCAGTGAGGGTTAAAAAACTAAAGTGCTTATCAATAAAACTGTACTTTTCTAACATCCCTCTTTCATTATTAATTGTATCTATAATTACAAAATTGGCATTTACGTTGAAATTATTTATAAAATTTTGTATCACGACTACCACCATCATAATGATTTATTTCTATTTAGATCGTTTACATATCAAATCAAATCAAATTTATGTTCATAGACCTGATTTCAGGTATGGGATAATGTGAAACATATAAACAATTTATTACAAATATTAAACATTATAACATAACATGGAGAGCATTGATACGGGTGTTTAATAGTAGCATTTCCAGTCGTTTTCCTACTAACATTGCTGCCCGGGGTTTACGTTATTCTGATACTATTGAAAAATTTCAATCCAACTTCTTCAAACGTTTCTTAATAATGCCGAAATCTACTTCTGCTCTCTTGCTACTGAAGTTTGGTACAAGTCAATTAAACGTTATAATACTTGAAATGTATCTAAACTTTCTGGTCAAGTTAGTTAGAATAGGCAACGTCAGTCTGCCAGGGCGGGGTCTCGATCGCCGATTCAAATTGAAGGACGCTATTTTTTCTTCTCTGTTTCAAAATCTTAGGGCAAATAGTCTAAATTGCACTTTGCCTAACATCCTTAATAAACACAAAAAAATTTGCTTCCAGGCTGATCTTGACTTCGCTCGAAATGCTCACTACACGATAATTTACAACAGTTCAACTACTAGTGACTGCTTTCAAAAATATTGTCATATAAACTCAACCATACTGAAATTTGTGCTGTATGTAATCTAAACGAAAATGAAACTCAATGTGTTTAGTTTAGTTTAGTTTAGTGGAATTTTTTGTGAAACTTACATCTAGAACTTGGCGGATATCGGTGCAGGGTTGATGTCTATTCTAAAGCTTAAGTCGTTTTTTGTTAATCAATTTTATTTTTTGTCTTCTTAACGATTAAACCTTTTATTATTATTTATTTATTTATTTATCAACGGGCCAACCGCCCAATATAAAATAAGATTCAATAGAAACAGTAAAAAACAAAATAAAATAAAAAAAAACAAAAATAAAACTGAATGATATAGGTAGATAAAGACCCATCCCTAGTATGAAAAACATTGGTTTTCCAAAATGTTAATATTATTGTATAACTCTACACGACAGTAAGAACACATAACAGTAGCGAGGTATCAACACATTCTTATACAATATTATTCAGCAGTCAGACAACGCAACAGTTTCACAGAAAGTCTCTTAATCCTTTCTTAAATATTTTTGCACTCTGGAAGCAGTCAAGAAAACAACTCTGCCCATAGTTAATACGATGAAACTCCACCTGGAAGGAATGGTTTATTTTGATCTTTCAGATCCATGACAATTTGAATGCAGTATTAAAAAAAAGGTGAGATCCCTATGCATGTGACGAATCTAGAGAGTTGTAAATTGGAGAGAGATTTCCAATTCAGAGTAATCGACGTCCTCAAATCCTTCGTGTTCCTTAAATGCTATATACCACAGGAACCTATGCTGCAGTCTTTCTATGGCCTGTATGTGGACGTTATAAGACGGTGACCGCACACAGAAACAATAATCTCAGAAAGTCTAATCCAAAATCTGAAGTGATTTAGACCCAATATATGAAACTTGGTGTGTGTAAGTCAATTTAATATCGGTAATAACGGTGACGCTCTTATGTTATAAGTCTAATGTATGGGGTTTCTGCTCGGGTTGAAGTTAATTAGGTAGTATTTATTAATATTTAGTTCGATTCCATTAAAATCTCACCATAGCGATAGGTGATCTAAATCGAAGTGGTGTTTTATACAGTCATCAGCATTTTGGACTCTGATATAAGTTTTCCCTGGATGCCAATGCTTCACAATTTTTTAATTAAGGCTTGATGATGAATAACATGAACGTGAAACGCCCTCTTCCAATTATTTCAGCAAAAAATCTGTAAATGTAAGTAAGTTTAGGTCAGTGCCGCGATGGGGGAAAAATTCACATTGTCGGTCGATAAAGCAACCTTTCAGGCCAACAGATAAATAGTCCCAGACTAAACTTTCGAACGCTTTAGGACTATAGCTCGGGATACTGATGGGACTATAACTGTTGACTTGCGAGTTATAGCCGCATTTTAGGATAAGGGTAACGAAGCTTGATTCCCAGTAACTGGGAAAAGTTCCCGTTTTTAAAGATTGGTTAAAGATAATACAAAGTGGTTTAGAAAGTATGAAGCTGCAATGCTTAATACGACATGGTGGGAGGCCATCCGGACCGGATCCTATGTTTTTATCTAGAGACTCTCGTAAATAGATGTACTAGAAATGTGAAAGGCTGAAGTCTCCAAAAAAAAAGGCAGTGCATCTTCAGAGACACAGTCCCTGTCTCTATATATGTTCGAAAAATAGTCTGCAAATAAATTGCTAATTATTTTGTTTATTTTATGTATCGATCGTATTTTTAAGTACGCTGCGGGGTCCTAAGAAAGTCTTTTTATTCATGGCCCATAATCATTCTTTATAAATTATGAAATTGATAATTTTTATTTTTTTTAAAGATTTCGTCTAGTTCGCTGCATTAAGTTTTTGAAGGCTGCAAGTAAAATGTTATCGCTTAAGCTTCCTGGTCCCTTTCGAATCAGCTTTAAAATAGTTTAGTCGTTTTGTCTGATAGGCAACATCGCCTTTGAAATTCGCACCCGCTGCGTGGCCACGGTCTTCAAAAGGTCGGACCGAATTATTAGCTCAAACCAATATACGTTTCCAGAAACCACGCAGGTTGCGATATAATCGTTAACATCGCAAAATAAGAACGAGTTGTTATTTAAATGATCCCAAATAAGTTCCCCATGTAAAAGTCGCGTCGTTTAACGAATTTCGCAATAGTTTATCGAGGTCTCTCTTCGACGCACGATATTGAAGATGGCCAGGTCACTTATTTAGGTTGCGTCATTTTTATTTCGGATAATTTTTATTAAAGTTGGTTTTATGCAAATTTGGAGAACGAATTTTTTCCATGTACGGCGACTTTCTTGCGCCGAATGACGCGTTCTTAAGCCCGCGGCTAATGAACGACCATCTTTGACATATTTCGATTAATAGCGGCGAGGCTCTTACAAAGCAGTTGGCAACCTTAAGGGTGGATACACTTTACGTAATGTTTGAGGCACAAAAATTGAATTATTGAAAAAACTTTCACCACCAAAATCCTTATTGCAAACTTATTTTGAGCGTAGAATCGAAACATGCCACAATATAAAGGGGAGTTAAGAAAGTACATCTCTGATACTTTTAGCAATTTCGACACAACCTGTATATATAAATAATTTTAAAAAGTTCATCCCTATAGTAACACTTTTTTGAATCCTCGATAGTGCTGGGTGTATGCTACGTACTCTCTGCCATAGATATTACATCACCCAGTATACGCTTATCTATAGTTGTATATCTATTTATTTATTTATTTATATATTTATCACAAATTACTTTTGCAAGCAGTACAGGGTGAGCCAAGATAGAGGAAAGCTATGAGAAAGTGGCAAATACAAAAGCTGTAAAGATTGATAGGATGCACAATTTAAAATTTTAAAGTAAACAGGGTGGCCCAAACAATCGTGAAGAGTAAAACATTGTTTTAAAAGAATTTTGTTTCGAAATTCTTCAACTTTTTGATTAATAATAATACATTCCTAAATCTAATAGTTTTTCCAAGATTTTAATTTTCAAAGGTGGATCGCTCATATTTGATACTAGCGTTATTCGAAAATGACGTAAAAGATATATACAACGGAATTTGAATTAGATGGTATAGGGCGTTCAAAATAAATAAATATATTGGGATCTTTTTTTTATCAATACTTTGGACTTACTTAATGTGACCTTAGTCTTACGCTGAAACATGGATAAATATTATTATTAATAATAAAGTTTAAAGGATTTTGTTTGCTTCATTTTTTAAAAAAATATGTATGACTAGTCAAGACCTGCAACTGTTGGATAATACTTGCGATGCACCTAAACATAAGTAGTGTCAAATAAAACTTTCGCAAATTATTAGTATTTTTGTCTTTTGACTAAATAATTTTAAGCGAATGACATTCTTTGGAAATTGTTATTTATTTTAACATACTTAATTATGCTGTTTATTATAATAA